CCGCCTTCACCTCCTCCTCCTCATCAACCCCCTCTCCCTCTTCCGTCTCCACCTCCTCACCCTCATGCGCCCCTTCCCCTCGTCGAGGATTGATTCGCCATTCCGCCCACCAGGACACGAGCCTCCACTATTTCCACTTCCCTCTTCTCTCATTCCCCCCCTCTCTCTTTCTCTCTCTTTTGTTTTCTTTTCCATTTAAATATATTTATTTCTCTCTCTCACAAATTTAGCTGTGTTTACTCTTCTCTGTCTCTACCTTTTTCTTCTCTTCTCGCTCATCCCCTCTTTATTGTCTCCCCCGTGCCATTTATCCATCCATCCATTTATCTATTCCCGCACATGTACCCTTCTTGCTCCTTGTCGCTTTACTCTTTTTCCTCCGTTCCACCCTCTTTCTCTCTCTCTCTCTCTCTCTCTCTCTCTCTCTCTGTCTCTCTTTCGCTCTCGCACGGGGCACCTCGGGGCAGCTCCTCGTCGTCGTAGACCATCGTCCACTCCCCACATCCCCACCCTCCTCGCGTCGCCCTCTCCGCTTCGCCGTGGAGTTACGAAAATTATGTAACGCGCTCGATCCGGGCGTTTCTTGTTCCGCTCTCCTTTCTCATCTTCCTCCTCTGGATATCACAGTCTGCTCCCCCACGACGCCCGTTTCTCTCTCCCCGCTGTTCCCCTCCCCTGCGTTGTACCGTTCTTCCGAACATTATTTCGGGAGTGCCAGCAGACCTGCCAGTGGACCCTGAGAGCGAGCGAGCGAGCGAGCGAGCGAGCGAGAGAGAGAGAGAGAGAGAGAGAGAGAGAGAGAGAGAGAGGGAGGGAGGGAGGGAGGGGGGGATATGGAGAGAAAGAGGGAGAAAGAGTCTCCTGCATGACGCGTGCCCCGGGATCGGGCAGGCGCATTGTCGGGGAAAACCGACTTTCGATCAGGGTACGTATTATGGAATTATTCGGAATGGATTCCGTCAGGAATTGTTCGCTTATTCCCTAGATTTCTATTGTGTTCTCCAGGGAAAGCGGAATAATTCCGATCAGAATCCATTACGAACGAATTCCGTGATGCGTGCCTTGGGAAACCGGTCGTGCCACGAGACTCGTCGCTGGCGACCGCTCGAGTCCGCGGATTCGCGGAAAATTGGCTCGCGAATCACTCCGTTCTAGACGTATACGTAATGTCGTCTAGCTTGGATAACCCGGAGGCCGTTTCGACAATTTCGAGATCTTACGTTCGTGCGAGTGACGGACGACGAAGCACCTTTGTGCCCTCCACCGAGAACAATTACTGATTTGAAAATGGACGGATCGGAAGATTCTGATTATATATCAATCAGAATTCTGATTATCTCATCTAGAATTATAATAGATTCAACCAGAAAATTCTGGTTTGTCCATTTTCAACCAGAATTCTTATTAATACAACGAGACTCTTTTCCTACACCCGAGGAAACTGTCCGATTAAACATGGACGAACCAGAGATTCTGATCGTAGCAATCAGAATTCTGGTTATCTCAACCAGAATTATAATAATAGATTCAGTCAGAAAATTCCGATCTGTCTACTTTCAACCAGAATTCCTATTAGAACAACCAAACTCTTTTCCCAGTGTCCGAATCCTCCCGAAACCTCGACTGGTCACGCGGCGCAAACGTGAACGCTGACCAGGAATGAAAGAGAGAGAGAGAGAGAGAGAGAGAGAGAGAGAGAGAGAGAGAGAGAGAGAAAGTTAATCGATACTCTATGTTTTAGAAATTTTCCATACGCGGTTTTACAAATAGGAATCATGTAACATCGATGTCAGATTGTCTTCGCAGTGCAGAGAGAGAGAGAGAGAGAGAGAGACTCAAGATTCATTCACTCACGTTAATAACATCCGTCCGGTTCGAACGGACACGCTCGACGAGTCGTCCTCCGCGCGATAAATCATGGAGTCCTGGATTTCGCGAAAGAGACGGCCGAGTCGGCTGATTTGCACGCGTGTATCGCGTGTCTCACG